CCATCCTTCATGCCTAAGGTCAATTCCCTGTTTCACAGGGGGCAAGAGATCATTCTCCCAGACTTCTGTCCTCACCCTTCCTCCGAGAGGGAAAAAACCTGGCACTGCCTAGACGTAAGAAGGGCCTTGCGCATTTATCTCAAGCGCACAGCCCCCTTCAGATGGTCGGAGGCCCTCTTTGTCTCCTACCACACTTCTTCCAAGGGCGCCAAGGTCTCACCTACCACCATCAGCAGGTGGATTAGGTTGGCCATCTCCAAGGCCTACGAGGCCCGAGGGCTGCCCGTACCTCAGGGCATTACGGCACACTCCACCAGGAGTGCAGCCACCTCAGCGGCCTGGGCCACCTAGGCCCCCATCGAGGACATCTGCAGAGCTGCAGCCTGGTCCTCTCCTTCACCATTCATCAAGCATTACCGGCTAGATACATATGCCTTGGCCGAGGCATCCTTCAGGAGGCGGGTCCTTCAGGGTGTCCTGGACACTGGGGAAACTCAGGCCCAATAATCCCTCCCATGGACATCTAGCTTGGGTATGTCCCATCCAGTGATTCCTCCCACAACCCACCTTGGAAACTGTCAGTTGGTCCTACCTGTACTGCATGTTTCAAGGGTGGGCGTGGGAGCAGTCACTTCCCGCCTGTCAGGCGCCAGCGCCGGGCCTGAGTACACAACCACAGACCATTCATGTTTCAGGAAGGGAAGCTGCCGTTGGTTTTTTTTTTCTTCCCTTCCAGGTCCTTTTTCCGAATCATTGGTTAATCTGGGGAGTCACCAGGAGGAACAGAGGGAGTGTCCTCAGAATTACCTCAGTCTCCAGGCAATTGGGCCGTAACAATACCCCATTCAGTGACTGCTCCCACACCACCCTCAAGACATGCAGTTCAGGTANACTCCGCTCCCAGGTACTCCAGACAGGGGGACAGGCAGTTCTCCAGGGAGAGGTTTAGACCCCCAGCAGACCGGCAAGCGGCCCTTTTGAGTGGGGGGGGGGCAGCCACTCCTTTTGCAGGGGTAAGTGATTCGGGCTCGAATCTACACATCGGCGGTCGCCTCTCTTGCTTCACAGACCGCTGGGAGGGCATCACCTTGGGTGCCTGGGTCCTCCAGGCCATCAGATCGGGACTCCATCTGGAGTTCCATTCCCTTCCACCCAGTAGATTCCGCACCTTTCCCTCCTCCGAGAACCCGGCTAAGCGCGCACTCATGCACGAAGCTATCCGCCATCTTCTGGACATTAGTGCCATAGAACTGGTTCCAGAGGGGGAGAAGGGATCAGGGTTCTACTCACACCTTTTCCTAGTTCCCAAGGGTTCAGGGGGGTGGAGAGCCATCCTAGATCTTAAGCTCTTGAACTCCAGAATAGTCTACCGGAGGTTCAAGATGGCTTCCCTCAAGTCCATCTTGGAAGGGGTCAGGCAGGGAGATTTCCTAGCCTCCATCGACCTCATGGAGGCCTATCTTCACATCATGATTGCCCCTGACCATCGGAGGTTTCTCAGGTTCTCTTACTAAGGAGACCATTACCAATACAGGGCCCTTCCCTTCGGTCTGGCTTCTGCTCCCAGAACCTTCACAAAGGTAATGGCCGCGGCCTACCTCAGTTCCTTTCCAGTTCACCTCCACTGTTATTTAGATGACATCCTCGCCCTAGCCCCCTCAGCTCCCCACACAGAGAGGGGTCTCACTATTACCATCAGTACCTTGTCATCACTGGGGTTCTTGATTAATTTCGAGAAGAGTCACCTAACTCCCTCCACCAGGCTCCAACATCTGGGAACGATTATAGATTCAGTGGAGGGTAGGGTCTTTCTATCCCAGGAGCGCAGGGACAGCATCGTGGAATTGGTCCAGGAGATTCGCAGGCTTCGATCTGTTCCCGTAGCACTTCTCTCCAGGCTCCTTGGGAAGCTCATATCCTGCATCAGGATCGTCCCCTGGGCGCACCTCCACGCCAGAGACCTGCAGTGGTTCCTCCTTCCCCACCAGAGGAATGGAACATCCGACGCCAGCTTCAAGGTCCTAGTGACCCCACAGATACTGCTCTCCCTCCGCTGGTGGAGGTCCTCCTCCCTGGCGAAGGGGTCTCTTTTCAGGGAACCGGACAGGCTGGTCCTCACCACGGATTCAAGTCTGTTTGGCTGGGGGCCCCACCTGCAGTCCCAGTTAGCCCAGGGCCAGTGGACGCCGACGGACCTGCGGAAGAACATCAACTGGCTGGAGCTAAGGGCAATCCACCTAGCCCTTCGCCAGTTCAAACAGACGGTCGTCGGGAATCACATCCTGGTCCTCACGGACAACGTGGCGGCAAAGGCTCACGTCACCAAATGGGGGCACTTACTCCGTGGCTCTTT